TTTTATTTATGTTACATAATTAATAAAATCAAATAAAAAAGTAAAAAAAGAAATTTAAAAAAATTGAAAAACAAAAAAAATAAAATAAAATAAAAAAAGAACAGGAAAAAAATTTATCATAAAAATCAACCCCATTAAAACGCATGCTCCCATTTTTACCTTTAAAATATTCATTAAACCATTAAACTTATTTGGAAAATAAAAATGTATTGAAACTTTTTCTTGGTAAAAAATAATTGATCTAAAACACACCGTCCGCTTTAAGCATCACCTCCAAAACTGAAACCGCAGAGTTTATTTTCAAAGTCGTTAAATGATAGCAAGAGGGAAGTCCCACGGCGTGGTAACAACACCCAACTCACTATTTTTTCGTCATTGAAATACGTCAAATAACTATTCCAAAATCCAAGCCTTTAGCAAGTGATCTGATTTGATTTTGACTAAAGGACTAACAGGTTCTAGATACACCAGCCAAGACTGAAACTTTGAGCATAGTCTCTGGGGTCGTTATGCGATAGCAAGAGAGGACCCCACGGCGTGGTAACATCACTTCTCTCACTATTTTTTCACAGAGACGCGTCGCACAACCATTCCAAAACCAAGCCTTCAGCAAGTGATCCGATTTGATTTTGACTAAAGGACTAACAGGCTCTAGATATGCCAGTTTGGAGAACGGATAGAAATTGACTGTGGAAAATTTAAGGAAAAAAACAATTTTCCAAGTATTGCGGTAACTGGTTCGCAATATACGGTGTGTTGTTCATTTGGCGAGTCAACTAAATGTGAAAAAGTATTCGCAATAGATGGAGGAATTTGTACAGGAGACATTATTATATAATGAAAAGACAGTAATCTTGGGATGGATAGACACCAAAGGATTATTTTGTTGGAGCTTGTGGGACTTTGGAAAAAGTAAAGGTACTTCCTGACAATGAATGACAAAGATAAGTGACAAAGTAATAAACCATTTGCTATTTTGATAAGAAAGAGTAACAATATATTTATCAACGGTGGGTTTAGTAGAGTTTGTAGCCTAATCTGAAGCAGAAGGTTAAGAGAAGGAAAAAAAGAAAAAATATTCATTGCAAATGGTGCTAAAAAGACGCAGGAAGCCCAAACCCAAATTCCTCCCAAGTCCAAATTATAGTCTCGTTAGTTTTCATCGTGTTAGTTGATTAAAATAAATTGTTGAGCGGATCAAACGATAGTATTCTAGAAACAAGTTATTGCCAGTTTTATGAAAGCGGTAAATATAAAACATGTAAGGTATGGTAAACTCTTATGAAAGCAGGTGATCTGCTAGTAATCACCTGATATATACGCGTCTAACCGGATAAATTGCTGACACGAGATTTTTCGTTTCATTTCGAATTTTAAAAACGCGACCCAAAAATCTCAAAAATGCGGACCAATTCCGAAAAGGTGAAATTCGTGCAAAAAAGACTATCCAAATTTAGCGTCATCGTTTTTTTCAAAAAATACAGATACAACTATGACTCTCGTGATGTCGCTCAGGAAGATCTCAGAACATGTTTGGATTATATAAGCCGCTCTGCTAAAGCTAAAGCTGCAAACATTGCAAAGAACCTAGCTGAAGATCTAGACGTAAGGCATTATTATTACAAACAGGTATCAAGTCGTTATCGTCTACAATTGAGCACTCATGTTACACCCTTGTATCATACAGAATATGTTTAAGTCAAAGCAGACCGAAGATTTTTGGCAGAGACTTGAGAAAAGACAACTGGATCATGATGTTAAGTTTTTTAAGGTTAGTAATCGAAACCTGAATAGTTTTAAAGCCATTAGAAAAAATTATTTAATACTTGCTCTGCAATCTAGGAAAAACATAATAAGAAACTTATAGTTAACGTTTTGAGAGAGCACAATGTTGTTAGTGGCTTAGTGGCCTCTGAAACTGAAGATTCAATCCAACAACGCTGTGTTTCTTCCAACCTTTCCAATGATGACCTTTCCGAAGATTATGATCTTTCCGATGATGACCTTCCCAATGATAACAACGACGACTTTTCTAACTCAGGAAAAGATAATGAATATGAAAATGAAGACAACGTGGACGTTGCCGATTTACGTAAACCACCTGTAATGGAAGTTGACACTGGAAAAGTGTTGACTTTAGATGAATGGGCGGAAGTACGGGTGCTAGTAAATAGTTATCGATTAAAAATACCGAAGACGAGGTGTACATACAAGTGAGTTCATATTTATTTTAATTTTATTGTTCAATACCATACTTGAATTGACAGTTTTCCAGTCCACTTTTCTACCACATTGTTGACCATTCAGGTCAACATGGGCCAACCACAAAATTGCTTAATCGATATATGTCATCAATGCGTCGGTCACTACCTAACATGAGCTTTGATTTGCCAAGTCTTTCAGCTGAACAAGATAAATTTTTTGATAAACTGCTTGCGGTAATTATAATATTGCATCTCTTTGAGGGTCTTTAATTGTGGACATTTGCTAAGATATAGTATATTAATATAGGCAGAGGACCTACAAGATGTTCGCGCAAGTACTTCTGAAAAACGAAATGCCAAGAAATTGGTTGATAGGATGTGAGTTAATTAGAAGTTTTTATTGGAGATGATGGCATCTAATTATTTTTGCCATTATTATTCTTTTAGCAATGATTCGATAAATTGTCCCAACAAGGACGATATTCCAGAATATGAACACACTATGCGCATTGTAATCCCATTCATTGACGCATCAATCAGAGATGTGCCAGATTACGTTATCCGCTAGTAAGTTGGCTCTTGACAATTTATTATTTATCAAAATAGCTAATTTCACATATGTATAAAAAATGCATTAGTTTTGAAAGTACACTTCGTGCCACAGCAAATACGTCGTAATTCGGGTGGAGATCCTAGAGAGCGTGCAAATGGGATACAGAGTAGATGTGCTTGTCAAGTTTCATGGCCTTTATTGGAGTCCTGACCTTGGGTGTGGCGAGATATCAGGTGGACTTCCAAGGTGCTCTTCCGCTAAAGAGTGGATGGATACTCTTAAGCTTGGGTGGGAATTACGTGATGTGTGGACTCTGACTCAAGATCAGTTGAATAGAGTGGACGCCAGTGCTTTAGTTGTATGGGGCTTTACTGTTGTTGGTAAGTGATAAGTTTCAGCCTGACATGCTTGTTTAGCTTATTAATTTGATTAAATGATTTAGCTCGCACAATTCGTATTTACGCATTCACGGCTGCTGGTGGAATACCATCTGTAAGTTTAATTTAAAAATTTTTTATATATTCATTAAATATTAAAATTTGTATAATTTATATAGTATTTCCCAGCTGTATTTCGTGAATATATTTCTAAATGGATTATTTGTGATGATCAACCTTTTTTAACTCTTGAATTAGAAAACTTACAAAATTTATTTCAGATATTAAATTCTAATATTAAAATACCTTCAGCTAATACTATTCATGCAGATATAATAAAATGTTTTAATCAAGAGTGTGTAAAAATTCAAGATATTTTACAGGTAATTTTTTTTTTTATTTTTATTTATATAAATTTTAATATTAATATTTATTTTTATTTTTAGAATATTCCTAGTCATATATCATTTACAATTGATGCGTGAACATCAACTAATTATATTTCCTTCTTGGAGATTATAGCTCATTGGATTTCAAAAGAATGGGAATTAATAGAAATTTTAGTTGATTTTTATAATTGAATGGGACTCATTCTGGAGAGAATTTAGCGGAATCTTTTATTAATTGCTGTAATAAATTTAAAATTCTTACCAAAGTATGTATATATTTTTTAATTTTTTTAAAATTTAATTTACAATTTTTTTTTTTTTTT